GCAAGGAAACCATGTTGGGGATTACAGCTGCTCTCTGAGAAAGAGATTTTAACAATAGCGTGCCAAAGCTTCAAAGCAGGAACATGCTGATGGCGATGGCAGCCTCTAGATGTGCACTGTAACCTATTCACATTATTTGGCTCTTCGCAAACTCAGTAAAGCCAGAAAAGTGTCCACGCCCCTGACTCACAACACCCAGGCTGGAGTGGTAAAAACTGGAAAAAAAAAAAAAATCGAAGGAGATTTTGTGTCTACATTTGTATCTGAGGCCTTAACAGAGAACTAGCGTTGTTGCGGCGGAAACCCCCCAGCAGTGGGTGTAAGCCAAAGGGTCTTTCTCTCTCTGTCCAAGGATGCTTCTTGTGGATTTACACGTGTTGGTGCCATATCAGGGGTGTGGATCTGTGGCCAAGCCCAGGCACGGCTGTGACAGCCCACTGGTGGGCTCTATAAAGGTGGCTCGCTTCTCAGGCCTGAGCAGTGCCTGGAGTGGTGTTCAGAAACGGGTAAGGGAGCTGCTCCATTGAGCATGCAAAATAAATTATTTATCCTCATCCTTGGGGCAGCAACATTTTCTTTTACAATTACAACTGAGAAGCCCTAGCTGCGAATAGATGGTGTAAACACAGCAAATGCAGCTCCTTTGCTTCATAATTGGTCAGTAAATCTAACTACCGTGTAGTGGCATAGCTACTTCGTGTTGAGAGGGGTTATATCATCTCTAATGTCACTGAGAACCGTGTGACCCTTTGTTCAGTAAGGACATTCCCTCATATCTGCTACTAGAATGTCCCCCTTTCTTCAGGTTTGTTTCTCATCCAGTTGCCATTTCCAGAAGCAGTTGTTTCAGTAGGTCTATGCAAATATAAAGACTTGGTTCTGTTTCATTTGGGATCACAAATGCTACGTAACTGGAAAACGGGAGGCAATCACCAGCTCTAATGTTGTCTTGCTTCAGTCATTACAGGGACTGACATGAGAGGTATATCTAAGGGCAAGTCCTGAATTTCCAGAGTGACTTTATCGGCATCAGTTGAGTGACTGCACATTTGCATCACTGCAGGCAGCTGAGATCAGAATCTGGAGCTTTGCCTAGGAATACGGCAGGGAACCGAGGAAAATCTGTGTTAAATATAGAATAAGTTAACAGCAAAGTTCTGGTTATGTCATCATAAACCAGGGAGTAAGCCATGGGTGGAATCTGATAATTCACAAGTAGCACATCTGTAAATTAATTACCAGGGTCCACCAATGAAGGCGAAGGGACTGATGTAAGTCCTGTGACTCACTGGGTTTTTATTCATGTTTCTAATACGCTGTTTCCAGTGATGAGTGCCTGGCAAAAGCCCAGCATCCACCTGGGAAACAGAACGCAGGGAAGTCCTGCTTTTTCTCTTTCCCCACTAGGAGGGTATGTTGAGGACAGGGGTGTGAAAAATTAACAAGGGTAAAAAGAAAATACCTAATTACAGTTCCTGCTCTTGGAGATATGAATAATATGGACTGTGTGTAGGCCAAAGCCAGCTTTGTGCTTACAACAGTTGTAGCTATTAAGCTTAAAATAACAGTTCAAAAAGCTGTTCTAACGTTTTCTGGCCTGAGGCATAACCAGGAAGAGCACTGGAATGCACATCCTGAATTGCGACCTTGCTTCTTACTGAAGGTAAGAAGAAACACGTAGTCTCCAACGAGCAAGAATTACCTTTCTAAGACTGAACTAAGTGTTAGAAGAACAGTTATAAGATTATCAAAGGATTTTTAGCAATTGAATCTATTTTTTCCCGACAAGCTGTCTTCTCAAGACCTCATTTATGATTATTATTCCTGCTTCTCTTAAAACAGCTTTGCCCCTTCC